AGTGTTCATACCTTGTTGTATAGTGACGCGTGTGTAGTATTCATACTCTGTTGTATAGTTACGCTTGTGTAGTGTTCATACTCTGTTGTATAGTTACGCGTGTGTATCTTACGCGTAACTAGGAGGCTTCAACACGCAGTGTTCATACTTTGTTATATAGTAGCGCGTTTGTATCTTACGCGTAACTAGGAGGCTTCAACACGCAATGTTCATACCTTGTTGTATAGTTACGCGCGTGTATCTTACGCGTAACTAGGAGGCTTCAACTCGCACTGTTCATATAAAGAGTATCCATGCGCGTCTCACCTATACCAATATGTTTAACAAGCCGTGGTTCTATTCTAACCGTAACTGATTCTACTCTAATTTATGCACCAGTATATCCAGACGGACGGGTGTGCATATCCATCCTACACCCACCAGGCGACGATCCGATGGGTTACGAACTCAGTAGTGAACGTTGGTCACCCGTGCAGTCGGTAGAGAAAATACTGCTGAGTGTCGTGAGCATGTTGTCGGAGCCCAATGACGAGAGTGGTGCTAATATTGATGCATCGGTAGGTGACCGTTTACGCGTTCGTTGCCATGTCAACCGTTTTGTATGTGATTTTAGCGTGGCGATGAAATTCGTACGAGCATAGGATGTTGAGTGTTTTTCGTGATATTATGCTGTATTTATCTTTTGCCAACTAACTAAAATAGAGAAGGTTTCAGATGGTACGAAAATCTTCGTTTTTCATTTTTTTACTCTGTGATAGCAGCTTACCTTGTACACGTACGTACAGACATCGCATGCAAAGTTTGCATGTATCTACGCGTGCATATATTCACGACAGGTGTTACGTCCTCGAGAGTGTGTATTAGGCATATATATAAGGATTTACTTCGAACCACGAATAAATATAGTAATTGCATGTGTATATATATATACTTACACACACTATGACATGTACATACACACACACACGCACACCAATACTTACATGCATTATATATATATGTATATATATATGTGTGTGTGTGTGTGTGTGTGTGTATATACATATATATATATATATATGTGTGTGTGTATATATATATATATATATGTGTGTGTGTGTATGTGTGT